CTGCCTGCATATTCATACCTTGGGGTGCTCTGAACATATTCAGTTAGGGGGCAATGGAACATCTTATGCTCAGATGTTGAAACCAAACAAACTGCCCCAAGCACCTTTCAATGACTTGAAGCTTTCATTGTTTGATTTGTAATTTGTTTATGGAAGCAATCTGAGTTCCCTTATTTATTTTTTAAAAATATAAATCCTTTTAAGTCACCCCCCCCCCCAGTTTCCCTAGCTGTTTCCAGTTCCACAGTCCTTGGCCTGGGTCAGTTTTTCTATTGCCAGCAGCCGTTTTTGCATTTTCTCATCATTCCCTCATTCCACAAGCCACAAACAAACCTATCTCAATATATCTTCCAGGAGGTGGCCAAATGGGCACTAACTTTTTTTGCTCGGCTGCATGTTTTGATGTAAACCCCACTTCTCTGCGCATATTATTATGGAATTTAAAACATCCCACAACAACGTTTGGCTTCAGAATAGAGTTCTCTGGTAACATGCTTTGGTGGTCTGCTAAACTTTTGTCTCCTGGCTTCTGGGGCTGCAAAACCTTTCTTAAGAGGGAGTGTGTTTCACTGCCCAGACACTGAAAAATATTGCTTTCTGTTTGTCCTGATCATTCGTTCCATTTCCTAGATAAGAGTGGCCCAATTTTGCTTTCAATATATTGCTGCCAGTCCTCTTTTCCAGTGCCAAACTCCTCGATTTTCCCACAGAATGCCATTATTAAGTTTCCTCACCACCATTTATTACGAGTCCCCTTTTGATATGAATCACAGTCTTACTGTTATTGCAGGCCAAAGAACATATTACTTTATTGCTGGAAAGAAGACCTGAGGGTCAAACTAGATGTGATTGTGGAAGCCATGTTTTTTATTCAACGTGTGAGCATAAAACAGCTGGATGGCAAACCTCCAGCCTTTGGGCCAAATCTGGCAAACCAGGTTTGGGCTGTGAGGCCAGTTCCCCCAAACCACATCTTCTTGCTCCCCACCTTATCTTTCATATGTGATGTTAGGTGCAGAGCAGGTACAGACACGGCTGCCAATGCACAATCAGGAGCCATAAAGTGCACACTGACAAAGTAAAACAGGCTTCAACTCTACTACCTGTTGTGCAGGTGGATTGGCTGTGCTAAACCCAAGCCTCAAGTCTTTAAACCACCACTCAGGACTCTTTGCAGGCCCCGTGCATTGCTCTGATGTCCCTACTTTGGGACTTCAAAGTGCCCAATCGCCTCATGTCATTGTGACATCAAGTGATTGGCAGGTGGGCAATGTCACCCCCCTGTCAAATTTGGCCTGCTAATCCAGGATCTCATAAGGATCTGGCCCTCAGAGTCAAAACAGTTCCCCACTCCCAACATACACAGACAGGGGAGTATGTGTATATTTTAATATCGGAAAGGCTGCATGAGTGAGGGGCAGGGCGGGCGTCGCCACGTAGGGCGCATGTGTGGCGTCACTATGTTTGGTGCATGCGATGTACGTAGCAACGCTGCACATGCTCTGTATAGCGGTTTGCTGGCTCTGGCACTCCAGCGCTGTACAGACAGTGCCAGGATCCCTCCGTCACCACTACAGCCATTTAGGAAAGTTTTTAATGTCTGACGCTGTATTGTTTTTAATATTTGGTTGAAAGCCGCCCAGAGTGGCTCGGGAAACCCAGTCAGATGGGCGGGGTATAAATAATAAATTATTATTATTATTATTATTATTATTATTATTATTATTATTCATTCATGGCTGCAGCCATGAGCAGAGGATCCCGGCACAGTCTGTACAGCGCTGGAGCGCCAGCGCCAGCAAACCGCTAAGTACAGTGCATGTGTGGTGTTGCACGCATGCACAGTATGTAATGACGCCACACATGCGCTGTATAGCGGTTTGCCGCTGCCGCCGCTCCACTGCCGTACGGACGGTGCCAGGATCCTCTGCTCACGGCTGCAGCCGTGAACGGAGGATCCTCTACATGCGACTGCGGTGGTGCGATGGCTGCTCGCACCGCTGTGAGCCCCCGTGGGGTGACTTCTTGTCACCCCTGCAGACATGGAACCCGGGGCGCGCCGCCCCCCCCCCGCAATGCCACTGGTGAGGGGAGCTTAATGTTCCCCAATCCTGAGCCTTGTTTCTCTGCATTCAGCCACCTCTAGAAATTTCCTCTCACCTTTTTCCAGTATTGGGAAGAAGATCACAATAGGTGCCCTTCTGGCTCAGATCCCTCTAGTGCAGCAGAATCCTCTTCGCCACTGTAGCCAATCAGATGACTCTTGGAAGTTCACCAGGAGGGAATGAAAGCAATGGCTCTCTCGGCAGCAGCCCAGTCAGACTATGGGAAAATGCCTGAAGACATATACCAGCTTCGCAGAAAGGACGAGAGTTCAAACAGGGCTGCATCTCTGGATGTGCTTTGTTTATTTTTTGTTTTGCTGTTGAGTATCATTGTGCTGCTATACAATGAATGCTGCCTATTGCTATGTTCCATATATAAAAGTGCCTGAAATGATTGGGTACAGGAATATAATGTGGGGGGGCTCTCCCCCCTTGTCCACACAGCCTCTTTGAGCCCCTCTTTCCTCCTTATATGGGAAAAGAGTAGACACATGTGTAAGTAGATAAATATGGGTTTCACATTGTGTTTTGTGCGGCCCTGTGCTGACACTAAAAAGTCAGAAAAAAGATCTGAGAAACATGTCGGGATCCGGCTCAAGATAATAATAGGTGATCCTAAATGTAACCTTATCATGCATTGACAATCCAGTCCTGCTCTTACCTTGCCAGCCCCATCCTCACTTCTGTTTCCTGCTCATACCAGAGTGGGTCAAAATACTGGCTTGTGTAAAGAAAAGAAACACAGTGAGAGGAAATGCACTTTTGCTGTCAGAGATCCAAACGATAGACAGTTTTTTTTCTTTAAAGGTTCATTGCTTAGCCTTCATCACTGTTCAAACGGCAAGTCGCAATTTCCCAGTTTTATGCCTGCAGATCTAGAGCAAGGCCATTAGAGGGCATTTAAACTTCATCCTTCAATCCAGCTAGAAGTTTCAATCACCACAACAAAACTTCTGGATAACCCCATGGCCTGCTTGGAATAGTTTCGTTTTGTTTGTTTTCATATGGCTTTCCATCTCTGCTGCATTGTTTTTCTATTTTGAGTCTCTTATTTTCGCCTCAGGCTGCAAAAGGTTTGGGGCTGGATATTATGTAGTGTGCCTGGTAATTTGGGTGTGGGTTTGTGTGCTTGAACTCCTTGTATTTCTAAGTCCCTAACCACCTCCATTAACAATATGAAGATGCTCAAAGGGAGATTCTCTCTCTCTAACCCCCACCAAATAATGGGTATTTGGAGACAGGTGCCCTTTCAAAGCAAGAAATGTCAAAGGCACCCGAAGAAGAACCTTCTGGTTTGGTGACAGCTTGAACATGTCCTCTTTATTTTTGGTATCTGCTAGATATAGCAGGATAATTGTTGCCTTATTCTCTGGGGCCAATCCAAAAATAATTGACTTTTTCATAGAAACAAATATGACAACACCTTCTGTATTCTGTTCCCCTGGGCCAAGAAATTCCTGATAGTTTTGAGTACAGGTTTTCAGACTTTATTTGCAAAACACAACGGTGCTTGCCATTCCTAATCCAGGGTCATCTGTTGGAAAAGTCAGGTGCTTGTCTTGGGGGGGGGGTCTGGCCCTGAAGGAGGGCATTGAGCAACAGGGAAGAAGAGCGGACCTACGTGGGCACAATGTGGGCAGAATACAAAACTATACGGATGTGTGACCTTTTTGCACATTACCCAACAAACCCTGAGGTCTCCGTGGTATGCAGCAAGTCCCACCATCTCAGGTTGATGCACAGGGACCAGTTTGTGGCCCCTCCTGGGCAGAGATGACCCGAACCTCTAGGTATAGGATGTATCCAAAGTAGTGTGGAGTAACACATCCCATCAGTGCAAGGATATCTCTGCCCCCCATGCCTCATCTGTTGTAGGAGTTCTCCATTGCCTCCAAAGCAGATTTGGGAAAGGTGTAGAAAAAAGAGAGGCGAGAAAGTCCCATTGTGCAGGTAGAAATCATTGCGCTGATGGGACACATTCATTGGCTATTGTTGTCCATTTCTGCAGTAAATATTGCATGGGAGCACCTTTGAAGACTCTGTTAGTCTAGAACACATCAGCTAGGTTGCTAGAATATTGCTAAAACATTGGCTTTTGCCCAGCTGGGGATTTTCTTGGGTAGCTTCCTTGAGTATACAGTGGTACCTCAGGTTAAGTACTTAATTCGTTCCGGAGGTCCGTTCTTAACCTGAAACTGTTCTTAACCTGAAGCACCACTTTAGCTAATGGGGCCTCCTGCTGCTGCTGCACTGCCGAAGCACAATTTCTGTTCTCATCCTGAAGCAAAGTTCTTAACCTGAAGCACTATTTCTGGGTTAGCGGAGTCTGTAACCTGAAGTGTATCTAACCTGAAGTGTATCTAACCTGAAGCGTATGTAACCCGAGGTACCACTGTATTGCAAGTTCTTAGTATCCAATCCATAAACTAGGAGCAATAAAGGCGAAAGGCTGTTCTGTAGAGATTCTGAGTGCAAAGTATGAATGGCATCACAGACATGATAAATACCCTTCAGCAATGTCGAATAGACCTTTCACCTTTGGGGAAACTGTTGATGGTTGGAGCAAAAGGAAGGAGTGCTTCAGACCATCAGTGCCACTTTCCCTATTCATGTTTACACAAGCAGAACAGCTGCACAGGGCATCAAAGAATGCCTTGAACTTTACTACAGATGCTCTGTTTCTCTTATACTGCTGTTCTTCCCTTTCTTGTATACCAAATAAGGTCTATTTTCTGCTCTATGTTGCCTGGGGCTTGCCACGGAACATTAGATTTCACTGCAAGTTCCTTGAACAACCCCTGGTCCATTCAGCCTCAGCCAGTTCATCATTGCATTTATTCGTTTATTTCTAACAACAACAGCCTGGTTTGAATAATGGTGGCTGCTTCACCCTTCCCTCCCCCAGCTCCCCCATAACTATTCTCCAGTGAAATGATAACACGGAGAAAGAATAACAAGACACGGTTCCTTAGATTACTGTAGCTGCAAAGCATCATTTTTCCAATGGATGGATTTATAATAGTAGCCACAAGCTGGCATTAAACACATCAGTATTGTACAGTATTAAAACATATGGTCTGGTTTCCCTCACTGAACGATAACATTGTCTAGCATAATTGCAGGGGAATCAAGGGAGAAGACAGATGTCGGCTGCGATGAGGAGCTGCACTTTAGCTTTCTTCCTCTCTCCCAGCTAAAGACGGTCATTTCTTCTCTCTGTTTCTAGGCAGTTATCTCATTATCAAAGAAATGAGAGCATCTTGGACTTGTGACGATCCAGCTGCTAGGATAAGGCCAGTATATCAGCTTCTGAATGGAGCGGGCTGGTTTACAAGCGGCTTCCTCTTCCTCTCTGTGGAGGCAACACACTCAGTGGAATTTCCAACATACTCTGAAAAAGCACCGCTGAATGAGAGGGTCAAACTAGACATCAAGAGAGGACAGGAGAAAACTCACCAATCTCCGGGTTTCTCTTTAATTGAGAAGCAGCCCTCAGAGGCTGTCGGTTTTAGTGGGGGAGACGGGGGTGCTTAATATTTTCTCCTCTCGTTGTTCACCTGATCACATTATCCCTCCCAGAATTGCTTTTCTGGGTCTCTGTATCTGTATCTATTCCCTTACAGAAGAAAGGTGGGCCCTTTTGACTAGACAGATGGTAGGATATGAACGGGTTGAGATGCTCATTGTGACTGCTATTCTTTTGTTCAAATTGGCAAACTCTCAGATAATAATAATGATGATGATGATGTCTTCTGCATAATGTCTAGTTTGGGTATGATTTTCTTTGGAGTTTATTTTCATGTATCTGGTGCTGATGTACTTAGGGTATGCTTGCAGCGTTTGTTCCCAATTTTCCCTTGTTTATCCCCCTATCTCAATACCCTATATATTGGGGGGGGGGGGTTGCACCATTTCACTGCTTCCACTGATAGATGATTGATAGATAGATGATACATGATAGATAGATAGATAGATAGATAGATAGATAGATGATAGATAGATGATAGATAGATAGATAGATAGATAGATAGATAGATAGATAGATAGATAGATAGATAGATAGATAGATAGATAGATAGATGATAGATGATAGATAGATAGATAGATAGATAGATAGATAGATAGATGATAGATATAGATAGATAGATAGATAGATAGATAGATGATAGATAGATAGATATAGATGATAGATATAATAATAATAATAATAATAATAATAATAATAATAATAATAAATTCAAATCAAGCCACTGGCAACCATTGGGCCAGAGCTCCACGAAGATTGCCGAGGGAGGGAGTCAGGCTGTGCCCTGGCCAAAGGCCTGGTGGAACAGCTCTGTCTTGCAGGCCCGGCAGAAAGATGTCAAGTCCCGCAGGGCCCTAGTCTCTTGTGACAGAGTGTTCCAGAGTGATAGATAGATAGATAGATAGATAGATAGATAGATGATAGATAGATGATAGATAGATAGATATAGATAGATGATAGATAGATGATAGATAGATAGATAGATAGATGATAGATAGATAGATAGATAGATAGATAGATATAGATAGATGATAGATAGATGATAGATAGATAGATAGATAGATAGATGATAGATAGATGATAGATAGATAGATATAGATAGATGATAGATAGATGATAGATAGATAGATGATGATAGATAGATAGATGATAGATAGATAGATAGATAGATGATAGATAGATATAGATAGATAGATGATAGATAGATATAGATAGATAGATGATAGATAGATGATAGATATAGATAGATATAGATAGATAGATGATAGATATAGATGATAGATAGATAATAGATATCAGTACTTACACAAAGAAACCCTTTAATCATAATGTATAGGTGAAAATCTGTTGTCTGGACTGATCAAAGACTTAAGTGGCGTTGCTGAGCACACTTTCCCCTGAAATGTGCTTAATGTAACATGTAGTTTGACCTTGGCTTTAATCAAACATTTTTTTCTTCCCAAACTCCATCTGGGTTTGTTTTTCACAGCTGACACTATGAACACATTTTAGCCTGGGCTGATCCAAACTGAATCAACTTTACAAGAACAGAAAATGCCAAAACCAACTTACAAGAAGACAGGCACAAAATTGAAGTCTCAGATTGCTTGGGAAGGACCCAGGGGGCAGGAAGAGACTTAGGCAACTGTGGGAAGGTGGGGACCTTCCATCCCCACAGCTGCCTCATAAGGGCAAGAGCTACTGGGACAAGTTGCTGTGCTCTCTAGGCCTCATAAGTCGACCTTGTTTCCTTGAATAAAGAGTTAATTTCACTGAAGCTGTGTGATTTATTGCCACCCTACCCCTAATCCCAGCTCCTGACACAAGTCTGATGCTCCTACCAGTGTTTCTTCAAAACCACAAGCTGGCCAGCACCCTGACCTACACCAGCCCCGTCCAGGTAAGTTGTAGCGACACTAGTGTTCAGAAGGCGCTCTTGCAGCTCTGTCCCACCACACCGATCACTACACATATCTTTGATGTGTGGAAAGCAGTGTGAGTGTTTTATTTCCCAGAAATTGCGCTATCAACTGCCACACCTAGATCTTGCAAAGTAACCTTCGTTGCAGCCCTTCAAACTTGACACTTCAGAAGCTATAAAGTACGAATTGTTCCTGGTGGAGCCAGAGCCCCTCCTCAATGAAGGAGGAAAGCAGCACAACCCCCCCTCCCCCCAAAACCAGACCAGTTTAAATCCAGCCAGGTAGCTCATTTAGCTCCAGCTGTGTCAATAAATCACGCTGCTGCATTTTGGGTCACAGAGGGTCCGTTGCTATTTGGGGATTCAGCCACTTACAGAGCTTGGCAGTCGAATTGCAAGTATTGATTTTGCTGGAACAATTTATATCAGACTTAAAGAGAATGTCTTTCTTAAGATCCTCGGTCCTTTAGCACACAGCTAAGTGGTCCATGGAGAATTTAGGGAGAGTTTGGGTAGAGGTAGGTGACAACGCTAGTCATAGGAATTTGGGGGGCCCTGCGGCAGGTGGGGGAAGATTAAAATGCCTCCTGCCCTGCACTGGAAAACAATATTATAAGGAACTGTCCCCTCCATAATGTCTGGCTAAATTTACTCTATGCCAGATTCCCCCAGATTTCCAGATGTTTTGGACCACAAATCCCATCAGCCCTGTCTACGGCTGATGGGATTTGTAGTCCAAAATGCCCAGCGGACACCAGGCTGGGAAAAGCTGCTCTATGTCCTGATGTCAACGAAATGTGCATTTGCTCAACCCAGCCAGGAACATCCAAAGTTGTGGGCCTGAGGAAATGCACATGGTACATAAGTGGTAACAGAGGGGCAAGCAACCCCCTCAGACAAGTTGCGCCCCACCCCCTTCACTGGACACCTGTGGCTAACTTGAAGGAAAGGCACTTTTCATATGCAAATTATAACTGAATCATGATTTGGGCATTAAGAATTAAGGCTGCAATGCTATGCATGCTGACTTGAAACTTAACTCCATCAAAGCCAGTTGGACTTTCTGTAGAGGGAATCTGTTTAGGGCAGAAGTATTAATATGAGCATTCTTCCTGTTTTGGGAATCTAACATGTGAGAATAAGGTCACACACACCCGATGAACTGTCCCCCCTCTGTGCCTTCCCTCCCCAGCAATCCCCCCCTGGTTCTGCCATTGTAATAGGGAAAACTGAATGAGGCTGTTACAGAAGGAGAGGATGGGAAATCAACACAGGGCAGCCCTAGGTCCTTAGCCTGTGAGTGGATCCTAGAATCCTAGAATGGTAGAATTGAAAGGGACAATGAGAGTCATTTATCCCAAACCCCCTCCAATGCAGGGATCCTTTTGCCCAACTTGGGGTTTGAGCCCAGAACCCAGAAATCAAGAGTCTCGTGTTCTCCAGATTAAGCTACCCATCTGGGCTTGCTTCACAAATATGTATTTCCCACAACTATACCCAAAAGCTGGCTTGCTGGGCTGCTCATTCACATACAGACTTTTCTCCATTATGTCCCTCAGCAAGCCATGGTCTTCCAGCCAGGCTTCACACTCACAAATGTCCTTCACCCCATCGAAGGACCTCCTCCTTTGTCCTTGCCCTCACTTGCTTGTTGACCAGCCCCTTCTTCCTGCCCTTTAGTTCTGTATCCTTGTTTGCTCTGTCTCCAACGCAAGAAATTCTCTGTGACAGTAACCACATTAGCCACCTGACATATGTCTGCCATGTGGTGGGGATTCCCTCCTTTAAAAAAGCAACTTCAGCCCTGGTGGAGATTTCTTGTATTTTTTCCACAGACCCATCACTTACCATGCTGGCTATTCCCGTCAGACCCTGGCAGGATCTGAGGAGGCATAAGCGTCTTTGGGTCTCAAGCCTGCAGTACTGATTCTGGTTAGATACTCGTGTGGTGATCCCTACGCCACAGGTGGCAGAACAGGCGGACCATTCAGTGCTCCACTGTTCACATGCATAGGGGATCAATATCGACGCTGTCCCAGGGAGCCTTTGTGCTGAGCAGGGAATGAAAGAAAGAAGCTTCATTAAAATGGATGCTTATAAATTTCATGGTAACAACCTCTAGAGGAATAGCCTTCTTAGTTTTGTAGCAAAAAATGGGAAGGATTTTTTGGGATTTGAAAAATTCGCAGGTTTGGCTGAGGCAGCCAGCCAAATGGGCAGGGTATAAATAATAAAATTATTATTATTATTATTATTATTATTATTATTATTATTATTATTATTACTGCTGTGGCCTAAGCTTTTGTGAATTAGGACCTTCTCCAGACTGGGGGTGGGTTGTTGTTGTTGTTTTTAGGTGTATTCTGTAACATGTCATGGATGCAATAACAACATATTTGTGGTACACTAATGACAATGTACTGGAAGAAGCAAAGATCACCAGTGTTGAAGCGACGATTCTTCAACATCAAGTTTGTTGGATTGGTCATGTTGTGTGGATGCCTGATTATCGTCTTCCAAAGCAACTACTCTGTTCCAAACTTAAAAATGGAAAGCATAATGCCAGTGGTCAACAAAAGAGGTTTAAAGACTCTCTCAAGGCAAATCTAAATAAATGTAGTATAAACACCAACAATTGGGAAGCACTGGCCTGTGAGCACTCCAATTGGAGAACAGCCTTTACCAAAGGTGTCATGGGCTTTGAAGACACTCGAACTCAGGATGGAAGGGAGAAATGTGCTAAGAGGAAGGCACGCTTGGCAAACCCTCACCATGATCAACTCCTGCCCAGAAATCTATGTCCCCACTGTGGAAGGACGTGTGGATGCAGAATTGGCCTCCACAGTCACTTACGAACCCACTGTTAAAACCGTGTTTATGGAAGACAATCTTACTCGGCTACGAGTGATCGCCAAAGAAGAAAGATTTGTGGTGGATTTATATTGGACTGTCCACATAGCATTCTGATTTATTAGTAGTTCTACAGTGTTTCCCCAATGTTTTTGTTTTTGGTTTTGGTTTTGGAGTTTTAATGCTCAACTGTGTTGTGCCAATAGCTCAACATTTTGAGAGCAGCAACACAACAATGTTTACATTTGGGAAAGAAACAAGCATAAGGAGGAAGCTTGTGAGGTCTTTTTTTTATAATTGTCAATTTACAATTGTCAAACCCACCCTCAGGAAAAAAAAAAACAAGTTCTTTCAGGCTTCCTTTTCACAGAAGAGGAGGAGGAGAGAGTTATAGGAAAGTGAATCTGAAGAAGAGGGCATGGCTTGCCCCTAATGAGTCCTGCCAGTGCAAAGGCTTCTGCTTGCTCAATGGAGCTTTCCCACCTTTCCTCCTCTTGTGCCCCCAGAAATTGGCTTGGGATTTCAGTGCCAGGAGAAGCCTCAGAACAGTGTGTGGGGTGAGGACAGGGGGGATTATTCCATCTGGTAAACCGCAATGCTTGCACTGACAAAATGTTCACCAAGTGCAAGGTTGAATTCCACCCAGGGATTCCTGAAATAGCTCCTTGGTTCCATTCTTAGCAAGGTCTTCCAAAGGAGGAATCTGCACATGATTTGTCCAGTGAACTTTCAGTTCCAGCAAGTGCCAATGTGCACTGAATCATCTAACTCCAGTTGAAGATCTAAGCTGCACAAGCTCTGAAGCAAATGTTTAAGGCCTAGACCAGCAGCACCTGAACAGCAGACTGTGCAGGTACATACAAGTCACCTGGCCACAGTCTTCCCCACAATGGGGAGATGTATTGTGCTTGTTTAAATTACAGAAATTACTTCTAAATCTGCAATATAAATCAGCACATGCATATTCCAGGAAACTCTAGAGCCTCCTTTTAGGCAATGCCTTTCCTCTTTTTTTGGCAATGTCTAAGTAGCCACCTTTGCAAGCCCCCTCATTCACCTGCATGCAACAGCTTTTCTGCTCCGGCTACCAGGCTAGTGCTTAAATGCAAGGCTGGTTTGGGCCGTAACTTCAACAACAAAGTGATGACCAAAAAGGTGGGCCAGGACCTGTTGAGTTTTACCTGCCATGGTATCCGTCAAGATCTGCCTGTCTTGTCTTTCACAAATCCATTCCTGGCAGCACTTTCCTGGGATCTCCACACGCCTTGGATGGGGGCAATCTGGAGTGGGGAGGCGAACATCCTCACTGCAGAGGGGGACACATGTGAAACCTCCTCCTGAGCAGCGGCACTGGAGCTTACAGCTTGGCTGGAATACTTCCCCATCCTGATAGATCTTCCCATTCACTTCGCAGCTGTCATCGTTGTCCTCATCTGTAGTCCACATTCAGAGCAGCCAAAAACAATGGGAGAAATCAAATGTAGGCATTCAGTCTGTAACAGAGCTACCACGTAATATGATCAGCAATGGAATATGGTACCTCCACATTCTGAAACTGAAATTGGCTCTGCATTGTTGTTTTTAGGAAAGGGAATTTCTCCACTCAATTCCCTACATAGGTATCAGGAATTAGGGTCAGAAACCCAGTACATTTGAGCCTAAAAGCCAAAAACTAAAAAGGTTATTTAAAACTCAACATTTTGGGCCAAAAGACTAGTTATAAGACTGATGAGTCCATGTATCTTCTTCCACTGCAAGAACAGATGAGAGGTACGTTGTTCCTAATGATTATGAGAAATATTTTTGTGTCAGAGATTCTCCTACAGATGCAACTCCACAAACCAGAAGGTTGGCTATACAATATAAGGTGGAGTGAAAAACAGTTACACAGTCAGGCCTTGTGTTGGCCTTCCATCTGGATTTTCTGCTGTGGCACAGTCTTCCTTAGAGAAGCTCAGAAAACAAGAAATCCATTGGCAACATTCCAAAGTGGGAATGGGAAGTGAAATCTGAACAGTTTCAGACCAGGTTATTTGAAGAATCCTCTGCACTCATATGAACATGGCCAGCCCAAAACAATTTACATAGACATCTGTATTATACGGTGTCAGACCATTCGTCTATCAAAGACGTCCAGACTGTCGCAATTTTCAGGTGGGATTCAGCCATACACCTGCAAATCCATGTTGCACAATTAAAGCTGATTTGGAGTTGTTGCACAACAAATCTGCTTCCTCAAAAGATCTGATTGTTTGCAATAGGGAAAGTGGCAGGGAAAGTCAGTGGAAAGTCTGGAAAACTGTAGCTTTGATGCAACATCATCTAATCTCATGGCAAACAAATCAGGATAGATGCCCAATAAACAGGTCATTTGGAAAGGTGGAAGCTCAGGATTATCTACACCAGTGGTTCCCAAATTTCCCCTGCCCAGGAACATTTGAAAATTGCAAATCATATTGGTGGACAATAAAACAATATGAATATTTATTGCTGATATGGAACAAACCACCCAAATTAAGCTCGAAAGAAGGTCCACAGACCACATTTTTTGGAACCCCTGATTTCTACTAACTGGCAGTGACAAGCACAACCTTGTTTCCTGCTAGGATGAAGGTCTATAGTTCAGTGACAGAACATTGCTTTCCATGCAGAGAGTTCCAGATGCAATCCCTGGCATCTCTAGTTAAAAGCAAGAAATGATGTGAAAGACTTCTGCCTGATATTTTGGGAGTGCCACCTGCTAGGGCTGAAAATACAAGGCTAACTAGATAGTTTCTGACCTGGCAGTTTCTGATATCCCTGTTTTGTTTAATTGCCTAATGGACTAATACCCAAGCTAAGCCTGACTCCATCCTCAGAGTGTGGGATCCCTAACTTTCCAAGAGTTGGTCACCGTTCTCCTGCTCTTTCTAGAAAGCTTTTAAAAAACAGGAAAGTCACTTTGTTCCAAGTTAGGTCTTGTTATTTTGTAAAAGGCCGATATTTGTTTAACTCACATCCCTGTCAGCTGACCTGAACTCTCCAAGTAGGACAGGAAATCGGGGCATATTTGCTGAGTTTTGTTTGCATTCCTGCCTGCTGCCATGGGAGCTCCAGGGGAAGAATAGAGAAGACACAGTCATGACATATAGCCAAGCCTGCACTGTGTACCAACTTACAGGACTGTCATCACAGCCTCTGATTTATGGCCCTGTGAGAGCATCATCACCCCTTTCTAGCGAAGTGCCCACCAAAAGGTGTGAATGTTTGGAATTGCCACCGTGGACCAATGCACCATTCAACACTCAGGATTTTCAGGCATGCCAACAGAGGCGAGGGCAAAGGGAGAAGATTGGTTCACTGAGTGGCTGATGTCACAATGGGCCCTTAATTCTTTGGTGAGTGAAATATTCTTCTTTACTAGTACTTCTCAGGATATGGAGCATTTCCTAGTTATGTGTGGCACTTTCTGTCTTGCTACGGCTGTTCATAATTATTAGGTATGAGTATAATAGCAGCAGGGTATCTGGAATTTAGGGACGCGGGTGGTGCTGTGGGTTAAACCACAGAGCCTAGGACTTGCCAATCAGAAGGTCGGCGGTTCGAATCCCTGCGACAGGGTAAGCTCCCGTTGCTCAGTCCCTGTTCCTGCCAACCTAGCAGTTCGAAAGCACGTCAAAGTGCAAGTAGATAAATAGGTACCGCTCCGGCAGGAAGGTAAACGGCATTTCCGTGTGCTGCTCTGGTTCGCCAGAAGCGGCTTAGTCATGCTGGCCACATGACCCGGAAGCTGTACGCCGGCTCCCTCGGCCAATAAAGCGAGATGAGCGCCGTAACCCCAGAGTCGACCACGACTGGACCTAATGGTCAGGGGTCCCTTTACCTTTACCTATCTGGAATTTAGATCAGGACCATGGCATAGAGGAACAAAGTTTTAACCCTTTCCACACAAATTTTCCTGATTAACCCCCGCTCCTGAAAAAGCTACACAACACCTGCATGTCTTGCCCTAAAGGACCAATAGAAACTTCTTGAGAGAGGGGTGTTAACTGAAAAGAATAATGTGAGATTGAAAAATCCACACACACCCCAGCGCTGCAGTCCCAGTTCAAATTCCTCTCCCTGCTACCCTGTAATTCCCACAGTTACTATTAACACTTTTAAAACACAAGAGATTCATGAATGATGGCTAGCCATGTGTACTTTGGCCCTGACTCACAGATCTAATAAAGCTTTTGGAGTGCAACATGCTTTTGGACTCTTGTGTTTCAAGGGCACCCCGCAGGTTTCCTAATCTTTTCAGGCGTTCTTTCCGTATGCATTAGACATTTCTGGCTTTGCCCCGTTCGAGGGAGCCAGTTCCATCCCACTAAATGACAAAGGGGCTCCTGCAAAGAGAGGCAAGAAGAAATAGCTCACAATTGCAGGTTCCTCCTCTCCCCATCAGGGCAGCGCTGTAATCACAGACAAGTCCTTGGCTCCGATCGCAGACGTGTAGATAGCTGCAGGGCTCTCCCAGTCTGCGGGCGCATATGTTGCAGCAGCCGCAGCCGTCCAGAACTAAGGAGGAGCCTGGTGGACAACGTGGAGGGATCCATGGGCAGTAGCATGGAGTCTGGCAAAGCTGTGCATACACCTGCAGAGAGAGAGAGTGTGCAAGAATATAGGGACATGGCGAAATGAGCAGCTGAATAATAATAAGTTTTTAAAAAGGATATAGTGACACTGAATGCCTTTCGTTTTTTGGTACACAAACCATGGCTACTAGCAGCATTCCCCTGAATACCAATTACTGGGAATCGCAGGTGGAGACAGGGCTGTTGTGCTCAAGTCTTGCATGTCATAGAATCATAGAATTGAAGAGTTAGAAGGGATCCCATGGGTCACCTAGTCCAACCCCCTGCAATGCAGGAATCTCAGCTAAAGCATCCATGACAGATGGCCATCCAACCTCTGCTTAAATAAACATGTGAGATGTAATCCACTGGGAGCAGTCAAATACAACATTCTTTGTTTCGCTAGAGTGGACATGCAAGAGAATGTTTGATCCAGCCAGTCGAAACTTCCTGTTCCTCCTGGCCTGGAGCATCCTTCCTTGCATGTGACTAGTGGGTGGGCATGACCTTTCCAGACCTGGTAAAAGGACAAGGCATGCTGCCACTCTCCTTTTCCATCTTCCTTTCATCCTGCAAACTGCTGGACTGCTAGCCTGCAGTCAGTAGGTAAATCTCCCTTATGGGGTAAACCTGTTTGTATATATTTCAAACTTGAAGCCTAAAGCCTGCCTTCAGGGATCACACTGTGCTCTGCCTGATTATGAGTAAACTTTCTTTTTGTTACTTATGAATAAGACGGTGGTGTCTATATTCTTTTAGGAGGGATTCAAGGGGTCTTACCAGAAAAACATTAGAACACATTTCGATCTGGACAAGCCAGATTGAATTGCGTATTGTCTTAAGAAACTCACACGAGTTTGCAACAAGTTTTCTGCTGTGTAAAGGAGAATGCACTCTGCTAAGTGAAGGAACTTGCTAGCGCAAGTTAGGAAGGATATCAATAAACAATATATCCTCTCCTGCCACCCTGAACATTCCCACAAAAAAACCTCCAAGGAAGGAGAGTCCACAACCTCCTGTGGGAGACCGTTCTACTGTTGAAGAAGCTCTTATTGTCAGGAAGTTTTTCCTGATGTTTAGTTGGAATCTCCTTTGTGGACTTCCCATAGGCATCTCACCACAGTGAGAGCAACATGCTGGCTAAATGGCCCTTTGGTCTACTCCAGCAGGTCTCTTCTGATGTCCCTACATGTTTGGGGCACAATTCACCAAGACACTCTGCTTTATAATCCCTCTCCACCTAAAATGGATGGGGTCAGCTGAGGAGCACAATAGGCCTCCCTCCAAGCAGAGGCCTAACTACTGATTTGGTACGAAGTGTTCTTTGTGTGACTGACTCCTCCAAGCAGTTGAACCCCTCCAAAGATCAAGCAAAGCTAAGGATACGTAGCAGTTAATAGGATAGGGACTATCACAAACAATAACACCAGGAGAATCACGTGACTGAAGCTCACTTCTGTATTGATGGTCAACTTTGATTTATGGTTAACTTTGATTTTGACATTGACTTTATTGTGTTTTCTTTACTGACCACTGACTGAATAAGTAAGCACCTTAACATGGGATGAATATCCTTAGATGTATGCGTAAGTTTCTGTTTAATAATAATAATAATAATAAATTTTATTTATACCCTGCGTTCCCCGGTCAGGACCGGGCTCAGGACGGCTAACATCGAAGTAATAGTATCAGCTAGTTTAGTATCAATCAAACAAGTATCCAAATGAGTGTCCTCTGCCATAACTCATAACAAAGGCTGTGCCTTTGTAAAGTTGTTGCATCAGTAATGAGAGAAGCAAGATAAATAAATAGTTTTCTGCATCTTCCTAGCTTCTATAATACATTGAAAGGGTGTGTTCCAAATTGACAGACTGCACCACAACATTTTGGTGATGTGTTGCTAACCTATGTTTTTGGGCTAGTCTCTAAACCAGTGGTGCCTTCCAGATTTATTTATTTTTTACTACAAATCCCATCAGCCCCAGCCATCATTGCCTATGGGCAGAGATTATGGGAGTTGTAGTCCAAAACACGTAGAGGGAAGCATGTTGACTATCCCTGATCTAAACTAACACAGAGTTTAGTACAGTGGTACCTCTGGTTACGAACTTAATTCGTTCCGGAGGTCTGTTCTTAACCTGAAACCGTTCTTAACCTGAGGTATCACTTTAGCTAATGGGGCCTCCCACTGCCACTGTACCGCTGCCTCATGATTTCTGTTCTCATCCTGGGGCAAAGTTCTTAACCCGAGGTACTACTCCTGGGTTAGCGGAGTCTGTAACTTGATGTGTTTGTAACCCGAGGTACCACTGTATCTGTATTTCATTCAGCTTCATTAGGCGAAGGCTTGAAGCCTTTGATAAGGATTCTCCTAGTCCATGTCAAGGAGGAAGGTGAAAATCTGGAGACTGGGCTGTGCATAAGGAGACAGGGCACCATTAATATGCCTGAACACAACACAGGTTACTACTCTAATTACATATAGGCCACGTTTGGACTTCATGGTAGTCCACGTATCATTATGTGTCAGGCTTCAGAGGCACTGCTTCCTCCCCTCTTGGCCGTAGATAAGCAGTACAAAGAGAAAGCAGTCTCTTACCAGTAACAGAAATGTTTAATGAATGCAGCAAAAGAACAAGCGACCCTTCTCAGAGTGCAGGTGCTCCAAGTTAAGGTTCCACCGACTTCCCTCTAGTCACTTCCATCCTCTTGTCTCCTAGCCACCTGATCTGTCAACCTTTAGCCTTTTGCAAAGCCACCATATCTAATCTCCTAGCCTTGGCACTGAGAGGCTGCACATCTTCCAGTGAGAGAGAGTTTGCTAGCTTACTCTCTTCCCGTTCTTTTACTTGCTGTTCACCTCCCAGTTCTGCCCAACTGTTGTCCTCCAAACTGTGCCCCTCAGCAAACCATTGTTCCAAATCAACACTACTCCATTGCTCCTGTGGAGTTTCAGGATCCTGGCCATTCCTTATCAGAGTTGTACTCCTCAGGCTGGTCTCTGACATTATGTCTGTATTGCTCCAAACCATGATGATTGGCCACAGTTTGTTCTTGGCTTACCAATCTTGGTTTCTTAGTACAAAACAAACCATGATCCTTGTTTTAGATGTAACGCTAAACCACAAATCATTATTTGTTTCCTGAGTGTTAAAGCAGAGAGGAATGAGGAGCAAAGCAGGAGTGGTGTACGGCTCATCATGATGTGTGACTGTGGCTCTAGTAGGGTTGTCATATTTTGAAGACAAAAAAGAGGACACATTTGCTGACTTCTACTTTTTAACTATGGATCGCTATGACGATTCTCATTTTACATACCCATGAAAAAGAGGACGTGTCCTGGGAAAAGAGTACATATGGCTAAAGTACAGTACTACCAGTGCCAACTGGCTGAATTTTATTTGTATTGCCTTCACTTAAATAATTCAATGATTTAATGATTTGTCAGGATTAAAAAGCACTGTCGTTAAATCAAGCATGGTGTTTGCAGACTAACAGTGTTCTATAATATCACATTTTCTACAAAAAAAATAACAGCTCTGTGCAGAGCAAAGATCTCAAGTGTAGAAGATTTCTTGTGATTTATGATTGCACACACACTAAGCCATATCTTCCCAGCACATGTACCTCATACACAGATGCAAGCATTTTTATTTATTCATAGCAACTTCACCCCGCTCTTCAGACAAAAAGACTTATTGGCTTATATACAATCATTTAATGGATTACCAACTAAAAGACATGGCACAGAAGGGGAAAGGAATGGGGAGGAAAGATGAAAATAGCCAACTCAGGTTAGATTCAGGAACACCTGGGCTCAAATTCCCATTCAACAAAGAAGCTCACTGGTTAACCTTGGGCCGATCACTTAGTCTACTACACTCAGCTAAGTCTACCTCACAAGAGGCAAGCAACTTCCCTGAGCTCTGCAAAGGAAGGAAGGGATAAAAACGTAATGAATGAGCAAATGAACTAATTGACACGTGAGTAAGGCCTTGAGGTAAGAAGAGAGGCAGTGGACATGTTAAAGCTGGGTCAGCAACCTTCTTCAGCCGTGGGCCGGTCCACCGTCCCTCAGAGCATGTGGTGGGCTGGACTATATTTTGAAAAAAATAATAATGAACGAATTCCTATGTCCCACAAATAACCCTGAGATGCATTTTAAATAAAAGCACACATTCTACTCATGTAAAAACACCAGGCAGGCCCCACAAAACACCCAGAGATGCATTTTAAAGAAAAGGACACATTCTATTCATGTAAAAACACACTGATTCCTAGACCATCCGTGGGCCAGATTGAGAAGGCGATTGGGCCGCATCTGGCCCACGGGCCTTAGGTTGCCTACCCCTGCGTTAAAGCAAACAGGAAAGGGAAGTGGTGAATCAAGACCCCCCCAAAGAAGCAATGTGTTTAGTATGGATACAGCCTGCCACACTCCTTCATTTCCGATGAAGTGAGAAAGGGACTAGTGTCTGTGGTAACTCACACTTGCACTACTCAGTAGACAGGGGTCAAAGATTATAAGAGAACCTGCCTTCTTAAGAATCTGCTCAAGGTGAGCTTCTTTGTCAGTGTTTCTTCTTTATGGTGATATATTTGTATTCGAAAGAAAATAATGTCATTGTGATGCTAATATGTTCAGCATCTCTAGCAGTGTAACTCATCAAATGATGCCCTTTCATCTCCCTCACAGAATTTGGAAACAAAACCTACCTAGAGTCACTCACAGGAGTGCTATTTGAATAATCTAAAAATTGATCAATTGTGCTGCCCCTGACATTGAGTCATACTGAGAGTGTGCAGTAAGGAAAAGCAAACCACACCTTTATATTTCCTGGGATAATATGACCAAACGGGGATTAATGTCATTGGGATATAATGCACAGCTTCTTATAGCTGTTGAGGTATAGCATTTGTTTTCATAGGCTTGCTTCTCTCCACTACAGGCTATTCTTGGATGTAAATATGCTGAATATCTGCTATGATCTGATTAATTTTACCTCTCCTAGGCTTTATATTCTGGGTTGCTGTGTCCTTAAGTAACACCTGATTGTATTTCCACACAGGTATCCAGTCCATGCGTTACTTATTTTTAAAGACAGGCAACTGCAACGATCTCAGCATTTACAGTGTGTTTCCAAAATCTGAAACTGAAGCAGTATTCTAAAACCACTGGAAAACTCTCAAGTGATTAAATTGTTCGTGTGTGTGTGTGTGTGTGTGTGTGTGCATGTTAAATGAACAATGTTGTTCATCTTGTGCAATCCTGCAGGAGGCATCAGCTGTACATGTGCTTCGCTGTATTTCCCGGAGCAAAAGTTGGACAACAATTGAGCAATATTGAAAAATAATGCCAGCTGCTTGGCTTTGTGCCTCTTGAGGTTGTAAAACAGAGAACTGAGTGTGCAGAAGAAACTATTTAATTGATTACTATGCAGCCTCCTCTGCTAGCATAAGCACATGACTTTGGTACCGGCACAATTAATGAAGTAGATCCAAATACAGTGATTTAAAATATGGGAACCGTGGTGCTAAAGGATAAAAGTTGGCTTTTCAACATTTATTCACAACAGCACATTCTCCATGGTTTGCACAGATGTGACACTTAAGCATGCACATTAAAAAGACACATTAGTGTTTGAAGACATCCTTTAATTATTCCAGTTGCCAAACTGAAGTTGCTTGATTATAAATTGTTTTGTAAGTGGGGGAATGGGGGGGAAAGATCCTTGCTATCTAAACAAACATTCCCAGCTTCCTTACCTTGGAAAGGAGACAAAGGAAGGAGATCAAGAGAAGCTGGAGTTTCATTCTGACACTTCAGCACATCCCTCCCCAGGCAGTTTGGAGACAGCAGCGTGTCTGAAGTTTTTAAAGTCTGCGAGTAAAGCCCTGCAAGTGTTTATACTCTTCCCTGCTCTGATGTCACTCCTAGGCTCCAGTATAAACACGAGTAGGTTTGGACAAGCGTCAAGTTGTTTCTTTTTCTTTTTCTCCCCCCACATTCCAGTTAACATTTCCATTCACCTCAAGGTGAGAACATGCAACCCATTCACAAAGCACAGAAGGGAAGTTTCGCTGTGCTGATTGCAGAGAAGCAGAACAGAGGGGGAAGCAGCAAAGGTATCAACAGTAAGTGTATCTTTTAATGGGAGAGCTTCTCTTGGTGTGTATTTGTGTGCTCTCAGCAAGATGCCTGCTCCACAGAGATCTTTGAGCAGCAGAGGTTCTGTGTATTGTGGAAGCCTGCACACTTTGAGCACCTTTGCACCCAAGCGGAAGCTTGCAAGAGAGGTTGGATGATAGCATGGGTAGGCAAACTAAGGACCGGGGGCCGGATCCGGCCCAATCACCTTCTAAATCTGGCCCGTGGATGGTCTGGGAACCAGTGTGTTTTTACATGAGTAGAATGTGTCCTTTTATTTAAAATGCATCTCTGGATTATTTGTGGGGCATAGGAATTCATTCATCCCCCCCCCCAAAAAAATATATAGTCCAGCCCCCCACAAGGTCTGAGGGACAGTGGACCGGCCCCCTGCTGAAAAAGTTTGCTGACCCCTGGATAATAGCAACTGACCACTGCCAATGACTGTAGACCCAGACGAGGGAAGGGAACATTAGAGGCACCAGGGGCAACTAAGGCAGTGCCGGATGCAGGTAATGCTGCTGAATGGCCAGCAGCGCCCAGGTCAGATATATCATGCCAGATTTGGAGCTCATGGGTATGCAGCCGTACCTGCACCCATTGGTGCACAGAGCCCCATTCCAGTGGTGTAGCATGGGGGCAGGGGAGTGATGGCTCCGGGTGCAAATTTCTGAGGAGGTGCAACCAAGCACTCCCACGATGGGCTCCCTCAGTGAGGCCAGAGCTTTGGGGAGATAAGTGCCTCTTTCTGCTCCCAGCCAGCGAAAGGACACCCACATGCCCTCTTCCCCTTGGCCTGCTCAGAGGGAGGGGAGGCAGCTGCCACCACTGCCCACCAAGGAAGAAGGATGGAAGAGGAAGGCAGTAAAGCACTGCCAGAGCCACATGCGTTGACCTGATTGCCTTTGTGTTTCTTTGCTTTATCTCTGCTCCCAGGTTGGGGCTTGAAATATACTCAGAGTCCTGCAGTGATTTCATGCTCTTTATTGCAGCTTGTAAAACAGTGACTGAATTCGCCCCCCCCCCAAAAAAAAAACCCCTCAGGCTTTTTTATACATTATTTACACAATGAGTCCCATCTGATTGGCTAATTCTGCTTCCCTCCTAGAGCCTGATTGCTCTTATCCTGCAGGCCAATCAGTTGTTGCATTCTACAATCCTACCAGCCTAATAGGCTGATTAACTTCCTCCTGGAGCCTGAATGGTCTTCTTCTGCCAGCCAATCAGTTGTTGCATTCTAGGATCCTACCTGCCTATTGTTCTAGGATCCAAGCTTAGTACATAACAGTTTGCAAGGAAAGACTCCCTTGATTGGACGCTGGCCTGCGAAGGGACTGACCGCTGCCCAGTCCACCAGGGGGCACAACACTTGCCTCGCCCTGGGTGCCAGCAACCCACGCTATGTCCCAGCCCCATTCTCCCTCAATAATTGCTCAACGGCTGCAGGCTACCCTCCTCTCCAGTTTATGAGCTGCCATTGCTTTTACCTTTCTTGATTATTTGAACACTTGTTGCCTCTTCACAAGGTTGCCTCTGTGTGTCAGCTCAGTGGAGAGGGGAGGGGCTGCATCTGCTGACCCTGACATCATATTGCACCCCACCCCACCCCACCCAGCATTGGTGAATTCAGTATGTGCTACATGAAAAGGGGAATCCAGATTGCATGGGGTTCTGAATGACATGAAAGCCTATGAGCACGCAACAGGACATCCTCTTTGCAGATGTCATGCAGAGTAAGTTGGGGGCATGAGGTCAATCGCTTTGCTCCCCACCCTATTTAGGCTGTATGTGGAGGTGACTTGTGAAAAGGGCTATGATGGAGCACAGAATAATGTGTCTCTTAATTTCATTGAAAAGCATTGCAACTTGGGCACTGCAGTGGCTCTGCACAAGCTACCACTTCCTTCTATAGTCATTTTCTTATAAATATGCAGAGTGAATGAGCTCTTACCTGCCTCATTTGTCTTGCATTTCAATCCCATTGGTTTTAGCAGGAGTGATCTCTGTATAATGGATTCAAACTAGCATGTTTGGTCTCTGGAAGATTCAGGCCACCTCATAAAACAATTGTGGGAGCTACCAAGGGCCATTTTTCATTGCTACTTAGATATTGACAAAATCCAGGTTTTGGTGGGTGTGAAAGCTTAAACTGGAGGAAAGGGGGTGAAAAACAAAACTGCCCATGCTGAAACTGCCTTTTAAAGAAAATCTATAGTGTGGCCATGCTTGCTGTGCTGTGCAAAGTTCTGGTTCCTGCAAATGATGCTGCAGGAAAGGTAGAGGTGCAGAAAAGAGCAATGAAAAGGATGGAGAAACTTCCCTATGAGAAACGGCTAAAAAGCGGGGCTTTATACTTTAGGGGAAGAAAAGTAACTTAGACAGGGAAATGATAGAGGGGTATAAAATTGTACATGGTATGACAAAAGTGAATAGGGAGATGTTTTGTGTGCATGTGTGGTCATATGTAAAGGTAAAAGTAAAGGGACCCCTGACCATTAGGTCCAGTAGTGGCCGACTCTGGGGTTGCGGCGCTCATCTCGCTTTATTGGCCGCGGGAGCCGGCGTACAGATTCCTGGTCATGTGGCCAGCACGACTAAGCCACACGGCGAACCAGAGCAGCACACGGAAACACCGTTTACCTTCCCGCCGGAGCGGTACCTATTTATCTACTTGCACTGGCGTGCTTTCGAACTGCTAGGTAGGCAGGAGCAGGGACCGAGCAACGGGAGCTCACCCCATTGCGGGGATTCGAACCACCAACCTTCTGATCGGCAAGTCCTAGGCTCTGTGGTTTAACCCACAGCGCCACCCGTGTCCCTTATGGTCATATGAGAACTTGGGAATTATCTAATGAATGATAGGAAATTCAGAACAGACAAACGTACTTCTTCACACAGTGCATAGCTAAGGTGTAGAATTCACTCCCACAAGATGCAGTAGTGGCCACCACTTTAGACAGCTTAAAAAGGAGAGTAGACAAAATATCAAATTTGCACTTTTCGGAACAATATGAGAATCAAACCACAGCTATCCTTTGAAATTTGAACTTAGCTGAATTGTGCGATGCAGTTCTCCAACCGACCAACATTTAGAAAAATGCATATATTTCAGGAGAGTGCATAAAAATCACTTGATTAGTAAAAAAAAAACATGCTAAAGTGCTTTATAGTACATTAGTCAAGGCTGCATACAGAAAATGTGTGTATTCTGATGAATTTTAAAATCACAATATAATTTGAGATGTATAACAATGGGTATAATAATGCACTTAGTATGCAAAATTTTTATTTATTTATTTACAATCATTTACCAGCAGCTTAATTTTTTAATCTCTTAAGTGTTTGTACAATATAAAAACTAAACAATATCATTAAAACAAAAATGCAATGCAAAACCAATAAAACAGCAGCATAAAATCTTATAAAACCAAACCAGAGGATTGAATCACATAAATGGCCTCGGCCCAGTATTCCTGAAGAAGCGTCCCCACCCCCATTGTTCAGTTCGGACACTGAGGTCCAGCTCTGAGGGCCATCTGACGGTTTCCCTCACTGCGAGAAGCGAGGTTACAGGGAACCAGGCAGAGGGCCTCTTCGGTAGTGGCACCCGCCCTGTGCATCAGATGTCAAGGAAATAAACAACTGTCTGATTTTAGAAGACATCTGAAGGCAGCCCTGTATTGAGAAGTTTTTATTGTTTGATGTTTTATCGTGTTTTTAATATTCTGTTGGGAGCCGCTCAGAATAAGTTGTTGTTGTTGTTGTTGTTGTTGTTGTTGTTGTTGTTATGCAGGGCCCAGTCTTCTGGGTCAGGGAAAGCCTGGGTGAAAAAGATGTCTTTTAGTAGAACTGGGCCCAGAGTGTGGTGGGGAGCATGGGGACTGTCTTCCTGACAATATTATGGGTAAAGATGGGAATTAGGAAAAAAGAAATCCATGTGGATAAACTCAGCATCAGGATTTTCTGAAATCTTCCCTCTCCTTCCTCTGTTGTTCCTGTATGGATTTCTTGACTTGGAAGCACCTTGGGAAAGGGACCTATTCTCTTGTGCTCTGTAAAGTACCATGTGGAGATTTTAATGTGGAGATGTGGATTTTAATGTGGAGATTTTAAAAAGAAGAAATAGAATCAGCTGGGGGGAGAGCTTGGAGTGTGTGAGTTTGTGTGTGAATGGAGTGGGAAATTAACCCCTTCTTCCCCTGTAGTAGTCCTAAGGAAACTTCTTCATCTGAAGCTGATACTTGCTTTGAGGCAGGAGGACACCTGCTATAGTTCCAGGCAATATCATCCCCTCCCAGCTGATACTATTTGCATTTTGCAAAACCTGCTATGGGCCATGTCGCCATACCTTCCAAGTGTCCCTATTTTCCAGGGACAGTCCCGGATTTACAAAAACCGCCTTGGTTTCTGATTTGATCTCGGATGTCCCGCTTTTCCTTAGGCTGTTCCTATTGTCACTGGATAAATGCTGGTGGGATTGGAGTTATGTGACCCCTGAGCTAGGGAGAGAAGTAACTATACAACCTTTAGAAGACATCTGAAGGCAGCTCTGTATAGGGAAGGTTTTTTTAATGCTTAATGTTTTATTATGTTTTGATATATGTTGGAAGCCACCCAGAGTGGCTGGGGCAACCCAATCAGATGTGTGGGGTATAAATGTTGTTGTTGTTGTTGAATAGAAGATCCCTATTTTCATCCAAGAAATGTTGGAGGGTATGTGTCTTCTCCTGACTCTCCACGTCTCCTCCTGCAGTTACTCCTGTACCACACTCTCAGTTCAATAAGGAGT